CACAGAAACACACAAAAACAGACAGAAATGGGCAGAAACACACAGAAACGCACAGAAATACACACAGAAATGGACAGAAACACACAGAAACGCACACAAAAACAGACAGAAATGCACAGAAACACACAGAAACGCACAGAAATACACACAGAAATGCACAGAAACACACAGAAACGCGCGTTTACACACGGCCCCAGCCGGGTCTTCATATCAAGTCGCTGCACAGAGTAAAAACTGCTGTTAAGTCCCAGCTCGGAGGTCCCAGAACCCTCCGGGGGGGCACATGTGTGCGTTCGTTCTCACGTTTTTTACGCTCACGCGAGGCCGAATGTCGTGAAACCAACTGAGCTTTTTCTATCACTCATGTTTATGATTCTGTTTATCTCAACTTTGATTTGAGGTTCGGGGGAACTTTTCTAGTTTCAAACTTGTACGGCTAAAACAAAAAAAAAAAAGCTTGTAAATAGTTGCATGTAATTTATCGCTTTGAGATTTCCCCTAAATGCTACAATAAGGGCTCAAATGAAGTTCTTTGAGTCCCTGTGATTAGAGAGAACCATAAAGGAGTGTTTTCACTAGAGAGATTGCTAAATAAAAGGGAACACAGTTTTAAGGGGTGTGAAATCAAAGAATAAACCTCAGTGGAGTGGATTTGTTGGTTAATTGTCGTGTTAATGAGGACCAAATTCAAGAACACGGGTTCAGTTCTGGTGGCTCGTATCCTGTTGATGGGGCTGTGAGCTCTTTGTTGAACGGGTTTCCGTTATAGATGCTTTAACTTTGGCCCGAGTGGACAAAGATCTGACCAGTTTTGACTCACGGAGGAGTTCAAAAGGTTCTAAAACTGGAGGGAGGATCGCGTTCTTCGCTCTTAAGGCTGTGCGTGCCGTGTCCTTTTTTGTTTTGGAATAGATGAGGTGGGATCCTCCTGGTTTGAGCTAACCAAAATTTGACAAACACATTATGTCATCCGCTAAACGTGTGTCGTTCCGCAGCGATAAGAGCAGCGGGGAGTCCAAAGAAACCCGACAGAAAACAACCGGAGCTGCTAATAACACAAAGACAAAGATTCAAGTTCTGGTTGTGATGAGGTCAGGGAATGAGGATTGGAGGGGTGATAACATGCTTTTCTGTGACTCTGTTTTCATATTTTCAGACAAAACGTCCTCTAAGGGACAGAAAAATAACTAAAACAACATTTAGTATTATGTTTCCCTTCAATATTTTCCCTCTGGGATTATAAAACTATTTCTGATTCTGATTCTGATTCTGAAACACAAGTTACTTAACTAGAAAGAGTCAATTTTTCCTTAAATATTCCAGTTCCCTAAGAGAATTAAGGGCGACTTTTCATATTGTAAGAAATTCAAAGCTTTGAATATCTAAGTTATATTTAATGTTAATTCTTTTCTCATTTAGGACAATGGTTTTATCAATAAACGGGGTTCATAGCCAAAAAAGTGCTCAACTTAAGCCTTAAGGGGCCTTATTTCGTGACCATCCACATTTATTTTACCTATATGTGGTTGGGTACTTTGACCTCCTCACTCAGGTTCCACTTCCAAATAAAATGGGAGTTAAAGCAGAGCTGCAACATTTGTTTTCACACATTTAAACAATCTGAGAAGCCGAAAACTGTCGAACTGGGATACGTATGCGTTTCATGCGCGTGGTACCGATGAAACTTCCTTCTGACTCCGATAAAAAGGCCAAATCTCCAGACCCGGAGCTAAAAAACGTTCCACAGAAGGAGGGGGGGTTTGATACATCCGTGCCACACTCGCTGCTTTTAAATAAACACCAGCCTCACACAGCAATGCGTGGCATCATACACAAAAGAACACAAACACAGCTCCACTGACTTAGCAGAAACCTCCATTTAAACTTCCTTCTGCTTGATTTCTAATTAGAGTTTCTGGGGTTTGTCTGCTGGCGTTAGGAGATCATTCAGTCACAGGGTCAGTATTTTACAATACTGGTTCCATCATGTGTGGGAATCTCTGAAATCCTAAACCGTTCTGATGTGATTCAGTTTTGAATGTGAACTAGTTATGCTCAGCTTATTTTTCAGGTTTCATGTTGGTCGAATAGCCTTTAATAGTTTCTAGTTGATAAGACTTTCATTCAGCAACAAAATCTGTATGATTCAAGCAAGTAGCATCTATGAAATATCAAAACCAGCTCCCCAAACCCTCATATAACCCTTCCTATTAACCAAAACATTTACAAATGATTCATTCTGAGACAATTTAAGGGCCCATTGAGGTGCTAGTGCAGTCTAAACCCGACCATGGAGGTTCGGAAGTCGTGCTATTTACTTTGAAAAGCTAAAGCTGCACTTTTTTTTCATTATTTACCGTAAAATCCTGCAATTCTTTCTCAAAAAATGCTTCGTCAAACATTGGTCCATTTGTTTTGCATTAGAATGATGTTTTAATGATGATTCTTGAAAAAATACTTGCCCAAAACTTGATCTGAATTTAAATAAAATTTAGTTTTACACGAGAATGGAGCTATTTTACACTTTTAAAAGTATGTTTTCATCAATCTGAAAGTGAGCAGGTTGCTTTTTTTTTACCCCTTAGCACATCTTTATGAAGGCCAGCACATTATGATCAGCATCGTTGAGCTCAGTTATGGTTGAATGATAGAAATATAGTTTTCTAACACTCTTCTTTCACTAATACAGGATTAAAGTCATTAAGAATGTTTGAGATATCAAATATTAGAATGCATGAAATGTGTTGTTTGAGAAACAGAGAGCAGCATCAGAATTTTGCAGGTCTTTTTCTCATTCATACGGTGATTTTTGTGGGGTTTATTTGCCTGTCACCAAAAACACAGACGCATTTTTCTAAACATCCTCAATAACCAACAAACCAAAAAACGTCTACCCCAAACTCACGCAGCAGCATGCACACACCTTCACGTTTTCTCTCCCCTCCGACTGATTTTCGCCCTGTTTTAGTGTTTTTGACCTGAATGCTGAGAGTCTTCCTGTTTGCTGTTCCATGATGAATACATTTCAATCTCCTCTCTCTGGGTCAGGACATCATTCTTAGAGAGACAGGCCATCCTCCAAACACACGCAACCCCTTAATCACTTCACTGTAAATGACGGGAGCGGATCATTTATCTGTATGACAAATCTGAAAAAGTTAAAAAAACAAATAAAAAAGCAGCCATATCTCAGTCGAATCCAAATCCCGTCGCGTACAGGTCCGGTGTGACAGACGGTCAGTAGATGAGACAGATCCAGTGTCCAGCTTTTGAAAAGCGTCCAGGAAAAAGACAGATACGTGTCCAGTTAGCGTCCGCACACGCACACTGAGACCAGGCTGTGCAGAATGCACAGTTTATGAACGTCTTTTCATACCGGAGGACAATTATTTTTCTGCTGACAAGCTGCAACATTCCTTCATCCATGAAAAAAAAAAAAAAAAAAAAAAAAGGAGCACCAAATTACTGAGAGTTTTTTGCTGCTTGTTTTTAATTCTCCGTGTGGCTGGGAGGCATGTGAAACAGCATTCTAAGATTCTGGGAGATTAAGCTCTCTCTCTCTCTGGGTGAAACCCGAGAAATTGAAACCCGCTTTTTTGATTTAAGAAGCTGTTGGGGTTGAGAAACTCTGGGATACATTTATGGACTTGGAGCGGATTGAAATGACGACGGGGGGGGGTACCTGTATCTCTTGTTGTCCACTGGGACGATGTCCATGGCGATGTAATACTGCTGGTGGGGATCCAGGCCTGCGATTTTGACTCTCATGGCGGGAAACATCCTCCTGAAACCAAAACAGACGTACCCGATGAGCATCTGTCTTTTTTTTTTGTTTCTTTCTTTTTTCTTTTTTTTTCTCTTTTGTCATCTGGACGGTTTGAAAATAGGCAACATCTGAAAAATAACATGAGCCCCTTATTAGAAGAGAAAAAGCCAAGGCCAGACAAAAAAAAAAATTCTACGCTCCCTTTGAAACAATGAAATAACGCTCAGGGGTAATTAAGTCCAGCTTTTCAATCATTTTGGGGGGGAAATATTAAGAAAACGTGTACGGACACCCGAAAAAACGTCAGATGTCATGTCGATTTTGCCTACTGGCAAGTGTCCCCCCCCCCCCCCCCCCTCACTGCAGGGAGGGTTGCATTCATTTCCGGCACACAAAAAAAATGCTGAGAAATTTGCCATAAAAAAGGAAAAACACAATGGAAATGACAGAAAAAACGGCCGACGAAGCATTTTTCATCCAAATCTTTGATGTGAACTAAGAAAGAGGGAGGGGGGAAAAAAAAAAACAAAGTTCAACATATACTAGCAGAGGAAAGAAAAAAAAATTAGGTCTGTTCTCCAGATCCGGCAGTATCCACAGCAAATACTTTCATGTTGGCATTCCAGCCCAAAGAGGGGGAAAAAAAGAGATGAAAAATGAAGCTAAAACACGGCTGCATCTTTAGAATCAGGACAATAACGATGATGATAACAGATCCTGTCAGTAATGCTACAGATCTCCTCTTTTATACTAATTATTATCATGATATCCTTGTATCTGAGTGAGATTTGGCTACTAACTGGACAATTACACTGAAACCACTAAACGAAAAAATGCATTTTAAATTGGCTGTTGTGCCAGATAATAATATTTTTAGACATGTTAAATACTAAGTTGATTATCAAAAAAAAAAGACTGAGGAAAATCTGTCTTAGCTAAACTCAGGGAGCGTTGAACCCAATAAAAAACACATGTGATTATTTAACAGCTACCCAAATCTGAGTCATGTCATGTATTGATTTTATTTTTTGTTCAATAGCTTTAAATACATTTTCAAATATTCCTCTTTTTACTGAATATATATTCATGTGGACGCTGCAAGAATTTTTAGTTTTTTAAGCTTTTGGAGACTCAGATTGTCATATTTTATGACGTGAAAATCATAATTTCAAATGTTTTTCGGGCACATTTTGTCATATTTGTGTTATTGTTGTTTTCAAAGTTGGCCTGAAAGAAAGAGACAAAGGGACGGATGTCATTTTTATCCTTCAGTCTTTCAACCCTCTGACCTTTTTGCCTTTTTCCAAAAGTTCTGCTTTCCAGTTTCTGAGAGGAAAATGAGATATTTCAAAGTAAATAAACAGATATGGCTGCAATCCTTTAAATGTTTGCCTCTTCTAAAGAGCGAGGCTAAAACTGATGTAAACCTCATGAAAAATGATGCTCTCCAAAAGGGGGAAAACCAGGCTTCTCCATTAAATAACGGCCTGTACATGAAGAAGGAGACATTTCAACTTAATTCCCTGTTTTGCTTCAAACGCTGCATTTTTTTTTTCCTCTCCTCTTTTCATTTAAAGGTCATAAATCCGGGCCTGCCTAATGAGAAAAGAGGGCTGTTTTTCTGGCCTCCCTTTCCCTTCTCCTCTGGATTTATGAGCTCATTATGAGCAGGCCGTGAAATGCACACACGGCGACGTGTCGTGTCCGCCTCCACTCTGCTTCAGCGCCATCGGATTGTTGCTCCATTTATGAGCTGATTACCAATTTAAACCCAATTCATAAAAGCCGCCGAGGGCCGTGTGTAACGGGTAAAGGGTGGAGAGTGACAGACCCAGAAAAGAGCGGCTTTGGGACGCGTTTGGTGGAGAAGACGCGCAGGTTTTCCAAAAGGGCCGCAGAAGTCTGGTAACTGAATAAAAAAGGGATAAATGTGTCACCCTAAACCAGGGGACATTTTGCCTATCACAGAGGGGCTCTTAGATAAATATTTCAGGCTCCCATCTCACATTTTTAAACGCCATTTTACAGGAAAAATCAGCTTTCGCGTCTGAACCGTCTTACAACGATAATAGAGATAAATTCTGAGGTATCAGCAGTCCGTGGAAATATTTAAGTCTGTCAGTGCGTAAGAGATGTTAATTAGAAGCAGGTCTCCTCGTGCTCCGACGTAACCTGCATCATCAGGAAGGCCCCCACGCGCGACACATTAACACCCTCTGTGCGTAATAGTTTTTTTTAACTTTTTTTTTCATTTACTATTTGTGCGTTCGCAGATTTAATACTAAGAACTAATACAAGAATACAAAATCTCCACGTTTCTGCAACATAGTTTTTATAATAGAATATTTTTTTTGGTCCAAAGGTCACCAATGGCCTTTTTTTTTTTTTTAAACCGTTCCGTGTGCGTAAAGACGCGCGTCTGACCCACCTTCCCGCTTTGGTGATGATCATTTCCGTGCCGATGTCGTGGAAGCGCTTCCACAGGTCCGCGCACTGCAGCTCCACCTGGATCTCCTCCATGGAGGCCGCGGGGGACGCGTCGCAGGGGCCCGGGGCCTGCAGGTCCGCGGGGGAGCCGAAGGAGCACGAGGTCCTCTCGGCCAGACCCTCTCCGTCCGAGCCTGGACTCGCTTCTGAGTCTGGAGGGGGGGGGAAGAGAAAGGGATTGCTCTAAAACAGCGCAGTGAATGCGTTTTGCGTCTTTACGCAGGAAACTTGGCGCTGTGTGAGGAGACCGAGCTGTTTTTTTTTCCCCCATCTGAGTCCACATCACCTGCCGTTTGCAGCCTGGGACACGAGGGGTTGAGCTTGGCTTTTCTGGCTCCACTAGTAATGGAGCTTTGGGTTTATTTCAAAAGCAGAATAAATGCTGCGTAAAAGCCTCTGAAAACGCGCCGGATCAAATGATTCAATATTAAAATTGGGCCCTGCACGATGAATAATTCCGATGGGAAAAAGTACAGCAAATTAAATTAAATTTCCCCTTCAAGGGATCCTTCCGGACTAATTTTAACAGACTGGCCATTCAGAGTAATAACAAAAAAAAAAAAAAGAAAAGGGAGGGGAGGGGGTAAAGTCAGAGCAAGATAAAAAAAAAACGCTCTTCCTATCCAGACCTACCGGAGAGGTTTCCATCCATCATGAGGATGACCTCAGCCTGCTCCATCTGCCTTCCTCACATCACCTCAAACAAAACAAAAAACTTTTTTAAAGAAAAGTACTGCAATATAGATATTTGTCTGCATCCCATTTAAGTTAAAGACCGCTTTCTAACGTTAATATTCTCATCCAATACGACAAGAATGCAGGATTTCCCAACCAGGCATTACTCAGCGTGTCCCTGTAATGTTTCTTAACACGTCTGTGGTGTTATTTGAATAGAAAAATGGAAACGTTTTGGGGGTTAGATGTCCAAAAGCTTGTCGTTTTTACAGCTGGGATGTCAAATCTTTAACGCTCAACACCTCACGACGCTATACTCTGCCCAGAAAAAAAAGCATCACTAGATCACCACATGTTGGCTCTCAGCCCCCTTCTGTCTGAAACATTATCCAAATGATTAGCCTCTCTAACACCACCAACACACACACAAAAAAAAAATACCGTAAAAACATAAAGAGGCGTCTGATAATGTATTATTTATCCGGGGCTCAGATCTGGTTATGCTAATGCGGAGACTGGACCGAGTCCCGGGGAGAAACCACCGGGGCTCAGGCCGAGCCAAGCCCGCTGGAAACCAGAGGAGAGACGGTAGAGATGGAGATGGGAGGAACGAGATGAGATGGAGAGAAAGAGGGGAGGAGGGGGGGGGGGGGAGAGAGGTGGTGAAGTGCGTAATGAGCGCAGATAAAGAGTGTTTCCATCGTCTTCCTCACAGCAGCCAGCAACAACTGTCACACACGATTACTCTCACCTCTCTCCCCCTGGAAGTGTTCACACCTTCAGTGACAGACACTCAGCTGCCTCCCCCCCCCCCTCCTCTCCTTTTTTATAAACACGGAGCAGAACCAAATCCAAAAAAATAACCGAGTGAGCACCGAATAAGAAGAATTACGCAAAGCAATTTGTGCACATTTCTGTTCCTTCCCTTCTCCAAAAATCCATTTCCTTGTTGGGTTTTAGCACCAGTGTGTGTAAAGGCCTCATCTGCCCCTTTTTCCAGCTTAAATCCCAGCCATTGATCACAGTCACAGCTCAGGTTTGCACTTTTAAAGCTTTAATCAAAATTCTGTGTGTCTCATTTTCAAGGTGTTACACTGAATGATTTATCATCTAAAGGGTTGAAATAACAGCCTGTATAAATCTATATATTTAAGGCCATATAATGTCGTAAATTCTCAAATAATTTGCTTTTTTTTTCAATGGCAGCATGGAAAACTGAAGATATGCTTCACAAAAAAACGGAAAGTTTCTCGGAGAAATACATCAAATGTATCCATAAAAGCCTTACAGATGTCTACCAGGATATAAAAGTGGATGTTGTTTTGAATTAAAAAACAAACTAAAGCAGCCAAAAGGTCTGTTTCGTTGCTTTAACTTGGATTAAAAGCTTCAGTTTTAAGCTGAAATGACGTTTATTGATCAACAAAAAAATGTTTTTGCATACTCAGCTGAATTCCCTGACTTTTTGCTGTGGTTGCCTTCAAACACACACACACACACACACACACTCACACACACACACACACACACACACACACTGTACAAAGCTTGCTCACATCGGCTCTGTGTCCTGTGGTTAAAGTTCCTGACCAGCTCGTGCCAACTTTCATTAATAGGACACAAACGTTCATCTGGCCCCTAATTGTTCTGAATAGAATAAATGTCAAACATCAAACACTTTGGGGTTTTCTCACATTTTCACACACTCAAACAGCTTAAGAAAAGAGCTGAACTCACCACGAAAAAGTCCAGAAGTGTTGAATTCCAACACAGATATTCGGACATAATACGCCTTTAATTCTAAACAAGCTTATTTTAAAAGAGGATTCTATCTGACATCAAACCTAAAAACACAGAAGTATTTCAGCTAAATATATAAATATGAACATTTATTTGCTTTTCAACTGGATGTCCAGCCAGAACTAGGCTCCCTGCTATCTGCACTATTTATTTTTCACTTTTAAAGTACACATTTTTTTTGTGACATCTCTAATAAATAAATAAAAAGCCCCACTTGATTAAGAGTTTTGCCAATGCTGCCAAACGAAAGAATCTCAAGGCAGCATTTCTAAAAAAAAAACCTCAAGCTGGAATTTGACAAACATGTTTTTTTTTTATGTTGCAGAGCTGCGAGGAGTCGCGCGAGGCCTGAGTTAAAATGTCTGAGGGTCAGACACTTACGATCCACGCAGAAAACCAAAAATCCAAAAGTAAATCCGAGAAAATTAAAAATGGACGTCAAACCCCTGATAAAAACGGTTTAGCCAATCAGATGCATTTTACCTGACAAAAAACGGACCGATCTAAGCATTTAACAGGATGAAGACGTTTCTGGTGGGGGGAGAAGGTGGGAATTAGCCAGCTGTGAAATCACACGCGCACGCGGAGTGGAGCACCTGCTGCCTCCCTGATGGAGCAGGAGCTCGTGCGTCCAGGCCTCGACCTCAATCCTCCCAGAAAGTTTTTTCCTGAAGTTAAGGGAACGATTTCACCGAATTGTGTCTCTAGAATTTTATATCGGTTCTGTGCGTAAAAGCTAAAGATGGACTCTCGGTCACGCCTTCCACAAACTGGACTAAACTTATTGTTGATTACATATTAATTGGTTGATTATTGCCTTAGAGCAGATGTTCAGGAGGCCCGTGTGCACGTGACGTGAGGTCAAACCAAACTCTGGGACGGTTGAGCTTCTCGTTAAACGCCTGACTCCGTCCATTTCTCAGTCCCGTCCTCGTCTCTGGAGCTAATAAACGTGTTATACGACCAGCCCGCTTCCAGCCTTGCCACGGGGCCGAGTAAAAAATAAAAAATCACTCCGTTAAGGATTCCTCTAAACCACATAATACGACCGCAGAGACCCGCTGTTCACGATCAGCGACGCGCCAGAGCGCAGGCTTTAGGGCCCGAGCAGGACCCGGAGAACCTGCCAGGAACCCGCCTGTTAATGACAAGAAACGGGGAGGAAACGGACCGGGAATTAGGTTATGTTTCTCCCTCAACGACTACAGTTATACAGAGATTGTTTTTTTTTTTTTAAACTGAGAGCAGAGAAGCGTTTCTGAGCCACCGAGGCCAAACTGTGGCGACCTCACAGTTTCTTAACAAAAGCCTTTTATTTTTTTTTATAATTTATTTTTATAAATCTTTGCCCATATAGAGAAAAAAAAAACACCAGCAGGCTGCTTCTAATCAACGTTTAGCTTCACCTCCCTCATTTAACCACAGCGCAGACAGCTCTACCCTTTAACAACAACAACAACCTCCCCATGAGATTTCCGGGAACAACTCCCCCCCAACCTCCTCCTCCGTTTAAAGTCCGGAATATTTATATATCTTTTTTTCTTCCGGCTTTAGTTTTTTGTTAGGTTTTGCCCCTCGCGCGGACGCAGAGGCCTGATTCTGAGCGTAAAGGCGCGTAAAAGCGCGTAAAAGCGCGTAAAGGAGGTCAGACGGCAGGCCTAACCCTAAAAAAATACCTTCCTCCTGCTTCAAAAAGTCCGCACAGATTTATCCAGCCCCGGTGTACCACAAAAAACACAAAACCTGTTGGATTAATCAGATAACCTCGTTAACAAACGCGATCCATTTTCCTCTCGTCAGTTTTTTCCCTCAACCGGACTCTTCCCATTTAGCTGGTAAATCCTGGACTTTTTTTTTTTTTACAATAACTGTAAAGAATCAGGTTTATTTTCTAAAAAGAAGACAGAGTGCTCTTGCAGAAGGTCACTTGAGGCCTAATTCGGCAGTTTGGTCTAAACGGCGCAGCAGGTTTAAATCTGTGTGAAAGGCTCGTCTCTAAACGCAGAAAAGTGGACGGTGTTGGACCCCGGATAAGCAGAAATATTCAGTTACGTGTGAAATGCAAGTTTTTTTTTAAATGTATTTTTTTACAGTTCACGTCACAAATCAAGATCAGTCATTTGAAACGTGTTAGGAAATTAAAATTTGAGATGAAGCTACTCAGAATGATAAAAACCCCGTTTTAATTAATCTATTGCTCACTAGTCAGAACAAGCCTTGCTTCCAGACTTAATAATACTCACGATCTTTTATTTTAATTAACTTTAAATTACAAAAAAAAACGTCACTATGAGGATTCATTGTTTTGCAAATGTTGTTGTTGTTTTTTTGTTTGTTCTTTTACACAGTCCGGTCATTTTTAGTTTTTCTTTTAGCCTTTAAGCTATCAGGGGTTGGTGGATTACCTTTTACATTACATTATTTTTCTACTTTTAATATATAGACATATCTATATATAGATAAACACTTCTCTTGCGTTAATAGTTTCTCTCGGAGTCGTTTTGACCTCATTTGTCCTCGGGGTGGCTTAATATGTCCGAGCTTTGGCTTCACGTTTATTTTCTTCTCGATCATATTTCTGCAAAACAAAGAAGCGACTATCGAACATTTTGAAATGTGAAGGCCATTAGATCAGCTCCCCTTTAAGATTGAAAAGCACCAGCCGTTTATTTATAGTGGCCCATCATGCAACAAGTCGAGGCCTCGCCGTCGTGCACGTCTGAGGCCAAATTTGTGCTTTACGCAGAGTTCAAGCAGCTTTTTTTTACGCATTTTACGCATGAAAAACGTTCAAATATACCGATTTCTCGTTATTCCACCAGACTAGAGTTAAAAGCTATCTTTTAGATGTAAACCCCACCCTTTAAGAAAAAGCAAGGAACACGTTTTCTTCCACGGGTTTGCCAGCAAATGCTTCTGTCACCGTAAATCTGCGCACTGGGGGCGAAAAAACCGCCGATAACCAAACTTTGTTTGGACAAAAACGCGTCCTATCTCTTAGGCTGGGTCACCGAGCGTGGAGCCATGTTTTGACTCTGAGAATCTGTCGATCTAACGGGAGAGGGTTGGTGGGGGGGGGTGTGGGGAGTGGGGGTAGGGGGGGTATCGTGCGTGCTTTTTTGCGGGACTGACCCGGGTCCATGTCCAGGCAGTGCGCCGGGTCCTCCGCGTCCGTGGCGAGGCTCTCCATGGACAGCTCCAGCTCCTTCTCCTCCCAGCCGCGGAGCTTCCTCTTCTTGTTGGAGCCGATCAGGGCTTCCACGGAAAAAGCGTGGGCTCTCGAGCTCAGAGCGGCGGCCGATCGCCTCCTCTCACTCATTTCTCTCTCAAATCCACCCGGAGTTGGGGCAAAGCGGCGAAAAAAAAAAACCCCCACTCGATCCCGTCCAACGTTTAGCAGCCAAAAAATAAATAAAAAAAAACAATAGGAGGGAGGAGGAGGGGGGGGACAAAAAAAAATTGCACACGTCAGTGTTTACAGCAGGGCGCAAACTCACCAAGTGTCCCAAAGTAATCCCAAACTCTTGACTAGAAACGCGGAGGGGAAGGTTTGGAGGCAGACCGGGGCATCTCGGTGCGTGCGCGCGCGCACGGGAGGGTTCGGGATGCGGTGTGCCGCCTCGCGCGCTCTCTTCGTCCACCTCTTCTCCCCGTCTTTCTTTTTCTGTTTCTGACCCCCAGCTTCTCTCTGATTGATACTCACTTCTGGAGGGAGTTTTTTTTGTTTTTTTTTCAGGGTTCCCGTAGGGGGGCGGGGCTAAGGGGGAGCAGGCGTCCAATGGGAGGCGAGGAGAGAGGGCGACCCGGAGCGTCTCGTCCAATGGCGGCGGGAGGGAGACAGGAGCTCTGAAGGGGGAAGCCATCAAAAAATACATCACCTAATGAACCAACTCTGTCATTAAAAATGTGTGGATGGTGCAGAAATTTAGACGAACGCGCGAGAATTTGGGCACGTCGTGCGTAAAATAAGCGTCGAATCCAATTATCGGTGAAAAATAGAATAAAAATGATAACCTTTAGCTCCCCTGGCCGCCTCGCTGGGTCCTCTGTCTCTGTAAAAACCAACATCTAGCAGCATCACACACACTTCTCCTCTAAAGGAACGCTTTTCGTGTTCGGACCCACGCGCAAGGCTTCCAAACTCTCCAAGTTACCCTTTAAACTGAATTAAAAAATTAAAAAGAAAATCCAATCACGGTATCTCTGTGTCACCCAAGAGCCGGAGGCCTGAGCCCGGACAGGTGGGCCGCACTGGACTAGCCTGTGGACATTTCCTTCTGTCCAGCTCTACTCCCTTAGCGTTTATTTATTTTTTAATGGATCTACATTTTTGGAGCAGAGCAATGCTTTGAAGTTTTTTTTCTCCTGATTCAAATCAATGTAGAGATTCAGAGAGAGAGATTTAGTTTAGATTAGAATGAACACGTTTTAACGTTGCAATCAAACATTAAAAATAAACGTAAGATTTTCAACATTTTTGGATCAAAATAAAGAAATAATCTGCTTTACGAGTAGCCTGGTTAACTGGGATTTGGGAAAAATTGAGAAAATGAACCGGTCAAAACATGTAAAATTAAAAAAATTAAAAAGTCACAATAGATTAAAACTGGAACGTATAAAAAAAAGCCCGGAAATATAGACACACTCGTCTATTTTCATTCAGTTTATGCGCAATGCAGCTGCGTAAAAATCAGAAACTGATTACGGTTACGCTGTTATGAAAAAGGGCAGCTCGTTTTAGAGGCCACAGCACAAGAGGTGCGGAGACTTCCAAATGAAAAATAGGATTAAAGTTAGAAACAAGAGCAGCTGGTCCTTCTGAAAGCAGACCAGTGGCTTTATTATCAGATCTCAGTGGTCAGTTCGGTGGACAACACGTCCCTAAAGAGTGAGTTTAGTAGAAAATGGAGGGCCCGGCTCAGGCCGGACGCAGGAGGGTGGTGGATGGGGAAAAAACGCTTTAAATCTCAAGCAAGGAGCAGACCTGGGGAAAGAGGGAGGGGGGGAGATGATGATCGCTACTAGTTTGATCCATCAGAAAGAAGAAAAAAAAACGTGGTTGTGTGAGAAGAGGACAACCTGCTGTTATCCAAAAAATGCACTTCCTGGAGAGATATGCGATGGATCAGACAGATCCAAAAGCAAAATAGATGCAGCCTGGGAAAGTTTGTTCTCCATGAATGGAGAAACTCAGAAAGAACAACTTAAAAACGAAAAGAAAAAGAAAAAAGAACTCTAAGATACAAGTGGACATCAGATTCCTCCCAAACTGAGGCACGAGGCCAGCCTTTTTTTTTTTTTTTTTTCCCTTTGGATGGTTATTCCTCGAGCGTTTTTTAATTAAGCTCCGTTTATGAAAATCTCTCCTCACTGACACCGCCGGAATTTTTGCTGACCCAGAACTCGGTGCTGTCCGCATTTCAGCCGTTTTTTGGTTGACCCCGTCCGGACACAAATTCTTCGCGCACGTTCCAGGGGCCGAAAGTTGGCGCACACGTGCAAATGTTTCCTTAATATTAAATTAGCAGCATCATCAATCACAATAAAAAAAAAAAGACAGACTCGGTCGGAAAAAGGCAGAAAATTATCTTGCTGCTCTGTTTAAAATCTTATCACGAATTTAATCTCTAAGGCAATCAAGACTAAATTAAATTATTATTATTATTATGACCAAAATGAGCGAATTGGAACCTTTATGACGAATTAAAGCACGTGGTGGATTTTTTTTGATCACAGACTTCTCCATTTAAAACGAAGACGAAAAATAAACATCAAAGCAAAAAAAAAAAGCATGTCTGGAGGCTCGTGCAGCCAACGAGGCCACGAGAGTTAATCTAATCTGCTTTCTATTCATCACATTCAGGATTTTAAAAAAAAACTAAGAATAAAGTCTTTAATGTCTCTTGCAATTTTCAAATCAATATAAACGTCTTCTCTTAAAAAGACTAAGAGGTGCTGGAGAACAGCTAATAGAAAAGAACAAAAGGCCCCCATGACAGCCGTTAACAGAGTCCATATTTTCATTTCCTTTGTTTAATAACTCAATAAACCAGAGCAGATGTCATCCCGGTTATCCTCAACTGGACGTTTTAATTCTCTCGCAAACACTTGAATTAAATTGAATTTAAGTCTCTCAACGTTAGGGATAAAAGGGATGGGTCCCCGTCTTAAAACGACTAAATGGGATTCGGACTCGTTATGTCCACCATGAGGTGTTTGTGGCCAAAAATGGACAGATCAATGACTCCAATTCAGGCCAACACAGACGAAACGCGCGCTCCGTTTCTCTTTTAAAGGAAGTTCTGTTCATTCAGATTATTCTGACCCAAACGCAGCCGCGTGCCAAAACACTTCGCCGACACAAGGCGGACCTCTTTACGGCCATCAGAGGAGCCCCTGCCCTGGTTGCCATGTTCCGCTCTCCGCGTGGGCTCCCGCAAAGATCAACAACACTAATATAAAATGTCTCGGGCTTTTACATTCATTTCTCCCCTTTCAGGGCTGTGGCTGTTTCCACGGGACACGGACTACTTTTCATGCCACTTTTGGAAAAGTGTAGCAGACTTAGTTACGGCTCTTTTGTGCGTAAAACGGCTCCAACACACACCACCTGTGACCCCACCGCCTGTCCCGGTCTAAACAGAGACCCCGGGCTTCTGTCAGGCTTCCACAGATGCTGCTCCGGACTCATTCAGTCTGCACGAGTTTATTTATTTACCATCAGATGCGCGTGGAAACAGAAAAATAAAGCACGTTGGATTAAAACCGAGCGAAGACACGATCTGCTCCACGTGTAAAAATCGAGATGGGAAACTTTTTTTTTAATGTCTATGAGGGTTAAAGCATATATTCCGAGTCTGGAAAAATGTTCCAAGAGGTGATTTGCATTTTAAATTGGAAAAAGAAGGAACAATACCATTTTTGTTGTGCGTAAAAGTGAGGCAATGATGGATTGGGAGAGGAGAAGGTGGGGGACACATTTGGAAAAGGAAATTTGGCAGTGATGGCATTCCAGGAGATTAAAAAAAATAAAGTTTAATTAAATGTGTCACGTGTTTTTCACAAATCGTTAAAAAGCAGGTGTGAAGGAGCCCGTCGCACAAAATTAACGAGTTACTGGGTGTTTTAAGGCTGTGCGTCTAGTTTAGGTGGGGTGATGGATGCAATTCTAATCAGAATCATAATCATACTGGCGTGAAAACTTGAAATTAGGAGCAGCTGTTTCACGCACACTTCCATTAGCCATCAGTCATGTTACGCAGATTTTTACGCACGTTTATATCAAGCGTAAATGATATCCAATATCTAGAAATCCAGTTAATTTAAGTAGCCCACATCAGAGTCTTGTGTGTCCATACCTTTGAATTGGAGGCCCTCATTCTTGACTCCGTTTGCCGTGCTGAAGCTCCTCAAGTTGACGCAGAATCCCCGGAAGATCATTAAAAAAAACAGCAGATTCGCTTTACGTTTTGGAGTCTTCTGTCCCCTGATGTCACGCGCCGTGTCCAGGTCTGCATCGACCACCGGGAGACACAAATATCCTGAATGTGGACACAACATATGCAGAGTGCAAACAACAGGAGACCACACACACACACTGAACAAACACACTGAAGGAGTTAAGAAACTAATGAAATGAGCACAAATACCCACTGACACTGGACGAGATTGTTCCAAAAGTATTTTTTATGAACTTTAATAATTTCTTTTGTTATCTTAAGACATTCTAAACTACATCCTTAAACTTTAGAAAATGCCATTTTCTTAAGGTCACATCACCCCATTACATGTATAATAAAAAAAATAAAAATAAATAAATAAAAATAAAAATAAACTCATTTTGTGTCCTGATATTTGAAAAAAAAATAATACCCCACTGACATCCATCCCTTTCTACACAAACAACAACCTCCACATTTGTGTATGAATAATGAGACCGGTACACACTGAACACACACATTTCCAGCTGTTTTTTTTATTGTTTTTCGGAGATTTTAGATTGGGCTGAAAACAGTCAAAAAACAGACAAAAATCCTGTAAAAAGTGTTGGAAGTAGAGTCAAACATCGGGGGGAGTTCATAAATAAGTCAAGTGTGGAGCTGTGCTCCGGAGTCTTAAAGAAGGAGTCCCTGGAAACGGGGGGGCCCGGCCCGGGCAGGCCCCGGGGGGGGGTGGGGGGGGGTCTCCTCAGCTGAAGCCCACCCTCCGCCGGACCTCCGCCAGCACGGGCGCGGCCATCTCCCGGGCCCTGTCTCCCCCCCGGGCCAGCAGCGCCTGCAGGTGGGGGGGGTCCTCCCTCAGCCTCCGGATCTCCTCCCGGATGGGCGCCAGCCTCTGGACCACCGCCTCGCTGACCAGGCCCTTGTAGGCGGCCGTGCTGAGCCCCCGGGCCTGGGCCACCGCCTCGGGGACGCCGACCCCCGCGGCGGCGGCGTGGATCAGCACCAGGTTGGACACGCCCGGCCGGGCCTCGGGGTCGTAGGTCACCTCGGAGGTGAAGTCGGTGACGGCGCGGCGGATCTTGAGGGCGATGTCCTCGGGGGAGTCGGTGACGGAGATGGTGGCCATGGCGTGGGGGTCCGACTTGGACATTTTGACCGACGGGTCGCGGAGGGATTTGACTTTCTGCGTGGAACCTGTGGGGGAAACCCAGAAGGCCTCAGAAACAAAAAGCAAAGAACTAACCATTTTATAAAGTGAGCCAAATATGGCTTCAGTGTTAAAGTTCAGTTGCTGTTCCTCCATTTTGTTTGGAACAGTAGATTTGGGCACATGGAAGATGCACGGCCGGTATCCGGGCAGGTCTTTCCTCTCAGGCCGCATTTTCGTTTTTTGCCCGTGTTTGACCAGACACGAAAGCACGTCTGAGAGCTCCACAAAGCACCCAGTGCTCCTCCTGAACCTGGAGCTCCAGCTTTAGCCGAAAACCAGAGCTAAGCTCTAAACCGGGATCAGAAACCAAACAGACAACTCCATCCGTCCGATTTCCACCTACCAGGCTCCTCCTGAGCAATGTGAGCAAACAAGCCCTCTTAGACAGCAGGAAAAAAAAACGCCCGGCTTTAAAAAGCTGCATGCACCACAAAGCAATGAACAAATGCCTTTTATTTCTCAATTAAACCAGTAGCCGATGGCCTCCAATCTACTGGAAACATTCGGTTTGAATTCAATGTTTCTAGGTCCTATAAAATGATTTATAGAAAAAAATTAAGCTGACATGATGTTTGAGTTGAAGCCGGATTGGATTCTTGAGCCTTTTGTTCTATTTTGTTCCATTATCTTGTCATTTTTTTACGTTAAATAGTTGGTGATACATTTCTTTAGTGATAAATTCCATCACTTTACAGACTTGTTAACAAACAAATATTGAACTTCTACTCCTGGAACGGTTCCTCCATCTCATCCCTTCCTAACAACAATTTATAATAAACGAAAGGCTTACCAGGCAGAGGCACCACAGGCATATTCCTCACATCTTATCACGACAGCGATTCTCTGCAGCTTTAAATGTTGCTTCTTTAAATATCGTCAAATTTAGACGTAAACGGCGGAAAGAGAAAAACAAGGGGGACGATAGGACGATGTGTCAGACTGAGTGGACGATTCAATAAGATTCATCGGGAAACGGATAAAGAATAAAGCTCCCTCATGGTTGCCTGGTGTTTGCAGAGGGAGGAAAAACAAAAAAACAAAGAAGAAGAAGAGGCAGCAGCAGCGGTGTCAGACGATGAGCAGACTGCGGGAGCGGGGGGGGGGGGGATTTCCTCTCCTTTCATCCTGACTCAGACCCTGCCTCCATTTTTCAGCTCCGGCAGCCCACGCGTTCATCGATCAGAAAACCTCCTCATCCCAGATGCATCAAAGGAATTTATTACAGTTGTCTGTTTGCTTTCAGAGGAAAGGTGGTTACTCCCAAAGTATGCAAAAGAAACACACACACACACACACACACTTGGAGCTGAACGTCTTCACACTAGAGTCTGATAACTCACACAACCCATTCTCTACAGTCATCTTGAAGACATCCCCCCCCAAATCCATCATCCTTCCGTCTCTCTGATACAAAAGGAAAAACGGCTCCTTTAATCAGAGCTCCGCAGCTCCCGGGACCTAATCCATCCTGTGCTTTCATGATGGCGGTCACCAGGGAGCCGTGGACATGTTGGCCACGTGTGAGCGAGAACGTCTCAGAGCTCTTATCTCGCACAGACACCGGGAACAAAAAAACATGTCTTCACGCCACACTCAATACGGCGCCGCTTTGGGTTGAATCTTTATTCGCCGATTGAAGACAGCCAGCTCTTGTTTGGAGCTCTGTGTGTTCGGTTATTGAGCTCCACTCGCTCTAAATACGTCTGATCTGTTTGGGACCTTTGGGAAGCCATGCTTCCTCATCATTTGAAATCATTTGATAATGATAAGGAAGCAAAAACGTACCAAAACGAGCTAAAACCGCATGCAATTTTTACACGGACCTGTAAATTATTTTCTACAATATATGTTGTGCTTTGTTAAAGACAGATCCAATTGTTTTCACACATTAAAAAAAACAACAGTCCGCCTTAAAATATCCAATAAAAAGCCATAAGAGCTGATTCTCTCTGGCATCAGCAGAGTAATTCCAAGTTAGCAGCTGCTAAAGCTGCAGAAATCGTGTTTTTTCCCCCTCGCGAAAGCACAAAAAAAACGCATCCAGCTCCCAGGAAGCCGTCTCCATTGTTAGAAAAGCCTCCTACGTGTGCGGTGATGTGCAGAGGTCTTACTGAGCAGCGCGCGGGGTTCGGGGAACAGCTCGCCGTAGCGATGGTTGAAGATGCGGGCCAGGTCCTGGGCCAGCTCCAGGTGCTGGACCTGGTCCTCTCCCACGGGGACGTGAGTGGACCTGTGGGGGGGGGGGGGGGGAAACAGTCCCAGAGTGAGAGCGGCAACCAGAAATCACCCTGCAGAACATTTTCACTTCACTCCATTCATTCAGGAAACCATCCATTCATGTCCCCGTTTAATAAGATCCAGAAAGTTTCATCTCTTTTTAGTCTGTTCCAACAAAGGAAATCATTTTTCTTCCTTTTTTATCTGTGTATTAATTCAACAAAACAGCTCACGGCTTTATGATCCCTCAAGTAGAAATAAGACCTTCAGTTTAGATCTTAATTTAATAATATTTAATATTTTACAGCTTTAATAACCAGAAAGAAACAATTCCTAATCATAATTAATCCATAAAAAAAAAAAAAGCTTTCATTCAAAACATGCTTTTCCTATTTTGTTTCTATTTCGAGACACGATTCGGTTTTATTTGGAGATGCCAAATTACATACACAAGCAGCGACATGGGCTTTATTTCTATTTCCATCCGTCATAAATGAGTCACCCAGCAAAATGCTCCCATTGGACTAAATAACTCGATCGATGGGGATGGTTGATCTTTTGTAAAAAAAAAAAAAAGAAGCCCGATAAACTGCTACGGCCTCTTTAAGTCTAATTGTTTATTAAATAAACGGCGTGAAAACTGACATTGTTGGCCAGCGCACAAGACTTTTTGAAGCCCAGATTAACACATTAAACAGAACAAACTGTAATAACTTTCTCTTTGATGATCCCTTTATGTCCGAATTGTATTATTTATCATATCGTGAGATTATTGGAAAACCGGAAATACGACAAATACTGTACGTGTCAAATTGAACTTGAACAGAACAGCCAGAAAAAACCCCTCAAGAAACTCACTTGAAAGAGAGGATCTGGACTCCACTGGGACACGTCACCATTTATAAGCGTTACCTTATAGAACGGGCCTAGCTTTAGGGGAGTGATGGATTCGCCACAGGGTCTCTGTGAGATTAAACACAGACTATTCTTTTGCTTTCCGATCGCCAGAGGATTTGAACACAGGATGGCCGCACATGTCTTCCCCTTAAAACAATGGCAAAAGCTGCTAACTCTTCCCGTGAAGACATACTGACTATTTTTCTCAGTTTCTGGGCTAAATCGTCCAGTTGTCTCTTCCAAGAAGAGGCATCATTACTTATAGGAAAGCCTAAACGCGTTGTTTGACGGGGATTAATGCTCCGCTTTTGGGTAAAAACATTTGACGAATTTTTTGCGTAAAGATTTGGGAGATGAAGCTGAAAAGACAGTGGGAGGTTATTGTTTTTCCTCACTTGTAGAGGAGGATGTCGGCGGCCTGCAGGACGGGGTAGGTGTAGAGGCCCACGCTGCCCTCGCTCCGCTGCTTGCTCTTCATCTGGATCCGCGCCACAGGAGAAAAAAGCGTTAAAACCAAAAAGGAGGCAGCACAGGCTGGGTTTTTTCATTCACCCCGTTAAGAGCCCGTTTTCGCTTTTACAACTCATCAACTCTCAGACAAACAAGTCACGGCTGACTTGGCGTAATGCTCTCCACCGTGTGCGGGGAAATAAAATGGTTTTTTTGTCTCCCACTCGGCCTCCACGGCTATCAAACTGCACCGGGTCTTTGAAAAAAAAAATGCATTTACACAATTGGAAATCAAAGGCCTTTTTTCTTAATTTATCCCCATTAAAGTCAACTGATTCTTACTTTCTTATTCCACACAATTGATAAGAAAAGTAGAAATTCATAACAAATAAAAAACAAACAAAAACAGAACATGATGAGTTTTAAGCTTCGCGAGACAACTCACTTTTTCACACCAGTCGATTTAAAAAAAAAAAAGCAGCCATATTTTCTCTGGTGGGGAATTTTGAGACTCTCTTACTATCTTTATGATCTAATGATCTAATTAAAAAAGTAACGCATAGTTAATCACCCAAAAGTCAACAACATTTAATAGTAATGGTATTATAATCGTATATAATAAGAATATATAACAGTAATCTGGGCAGACAGTCACATCCAGGATTAAAAGACCCAAAATATAAGGTCTAAATGATAACTGGTCTTCCCAATTCTAGGAAAAAATTTAGATTTCTGAGGTTTTGTTAAACAATAACAACACAAAGATTTCCAGTCAGGCTTCATGATAACAGTATGCTATAATGCGGTATAATATTAATACTACACAGAGTGAGTGTTCCTCAGTGTGTTCTGACTTTATGACTCGCTCGTCCCGTCTGTTACTCACACATTTTATTACATGCATTTATCAAAGTTCGCTGTCCGCTGGTGAAAACGCTGAATATTTTGGCCCGAATTGTGACATTTGCATGTGTATAAAATCCTAACAAAGTACACTTTTAGGTTGAATAACTGCATGTGTTGTAGTTAAAATATTTCCAGCTACTTGAAAACGTCTTAAAAAAAAAGGTGCTCATAACCATTATTATTACTCATTCTCACTGATAGGCCGTCATATGGAATACTTTTTTTTGTATCTTTTTGTGTATAATCAAAATATAGTATGAGTTGTAAATCATTCTAGCGTTAAAATACAAACTGAAAAAAAGAACTTTAGTTGTTCCCAAAACTTTTATGAACTGAATTTTGAAGGCAGGGTCAACCATAAAAAGGCATTTTTATCAATGCCCTTAAAATCTACGAGCGTTGGTCTTAAATAAAGAGAAGAGTTCTGCGCGGAACAACCCTCAGATTGGTTTCTCCGTCTCCATCGTGGACTCCTCCTCTTGTTTACTCACTGCAGATGTTATCAAACCGTCTCTCCCACCGTCACCGGCCAACAAAAGGCGTGTCCTAAAGCTCTTCTTTCACATTCTGCCCCACCCACAAGTGTCAGACGTGATTCGGAAATATCGCTTTGTCTAGAATTTTTTTTTTTTTAAGTCTGTGCAGAATGAATTTCTAACTAAAGTCAGTCGGGCGTGAGGCGTGGCGGCAGATAGCTGCCGAATGGAGCCTTTTCCTCCAAACAAAACCGGTCCCTGAGGCTTCCGGGGCCTGGATCTGGTGGGTTTGGTGGATCTGGGTGTTGTGTTGAATTCAGTTACCTTCCACTGGGGGAGGTGTCTCAGACGGGGCATGCTGGTCAGGCAGCCCAGGATCCAGGAGAGCTCCGCGTGCTCCGACACCTGCCAGACACACACACACACACACACACACACACACACACACACACACCCAGCACAGTTAAACCACACCACCTCCATCCTTTGTCCCTCTTTTAGCTTTACACTCACTCTACGCCACCCCTCCACATCAGCATGGATTAAAAGGAAACGGTCCAGATTCATGAACGTTGACGTCAGCAGATGTTGCTGCAGATGTTTCCAGCCTCCCGAGTTTAGTCTCTCGTGGACCTCTAAATGATGTCGTGCTTTAGTGGGACTCGGTTGAATGGTGGATAGAGGGACTCCGGGACGTAAACAAAAAGAGAAAAACAGAGTCTGGGCAGGAGGATGAAGAGATGCAGGGCCTTCCGGGGAATGGCTGATCTGGAGGAAAAGGCAACTTCACAGCGCCTCCAAGTGGATAAAAAGAGCTCTGCCGGTCATCACCCCCCCCCCCGCATGGAAGAGTCCCACACTCCCCTCAGAGACAGCCCCTCACACCTGTGATGTAACCGAACAGTTTAATCGCCCATTTCTATGAAAATGTTGCGTGTCTTATTTATCTAGTTAAACTCTCACAGCCTAAAAAGCAACTATTGATTTTCTTTATATTTAAAACAAACCCCCAAAAATCCTGAATATTTTATAAGTAATATATTCTGGCCTAATGACCACTTTCAATACAATTCACCTAAACATCTTTGTTCTTATTGACATAGTTTGTCCAGTAAAAAAAAATTCTTTCTAACAAAAAATTGTATTTATGGTGCCTTACCTTAAAATCAATATGTTATGTTGGCTTTTCAATTCAATGAGAAGGTGCAAAGAAATGTGTGTCACCTGATATCAGGCGAGTATTATTGATTAAATCCTTAGCAGAGATCTTAAATACAAGATGAAGTTAATCAAAATAAAATATAATGTCACCCAGTGTTGCTTTAGATTACATTAAGGCAGCAGATTGTGTCTGTGTGTGTGTGTGTGTGTCTCAGCGTCACTTTAAAGGATGCGGGTGCAAGTTGTGCGATTCAGGTGCAAGTTGTGCGTTTCTCTTTGATGGTTTTATCCAGTAAAACCCTCACAAATGAGTCCAAAACTCTTGACTCTGACTTCCACTGAGGGGCAAATGTGAAAGGTGATTAAAAACAAAAGGCGTGTGTGTGTCACGGAGACTGTCTGTGCGTGTGTGTGTCATGGAGACTGTTTGTGCTTTTGCAAAGGAGACTTTATGGACGCGGGCCTGTTCTTTTTCCGCCTCCTGTTGCCCCGACAGTGTGACGTCACAACGGCGGACTCAGGACGGGGACAGATGTCCGTGTGGGTGCCTGGAGGGTTCGATATGGTTCGGAGGAGCCATAAAAGCGATATTTAAAGGGCGTGGGAGAGGCAGGAATCCGCCCGGGCCGCAAGAGATGGGCTCGGGTTTCAGATCACAGCCGAATTACGGCTCATTCGGACCGTAAAAGAGGGGGGGGGCTTTACAGACAAGCTCACAGTTGTGTCTGCTAATCCACTTTTCTCCATCGAATCGTCATAAAAAAGAAAAAAACTCAGGGCCCGTCAGTGAACGGGGGCGGAGCCACGGACCCCCGAAGCCCGGCCGGTCACACGGTCCTGTTGTTTTTTTTTTGTTTTTTTACAAAAAAAGCTGAGTATTTTCTTTGGGTGGCCGTCGTATTTGTACATGTGCGGCGGACACGCTCGACACGGGGGTCGCCCCGCTGCCAGGTTATGTGGCGTGAAGCTAAACGGGAATAAAAATAGGATTGGATGTGTGTTCAGGAGGAGGGTTTGGGGGGGGTTTCAAAGAAGGCAGATGGCCTAAACTTATAACACACACATTCAGACGTCCAAACCTGAAAAGAAAACACACATCCTGTGACAGCGGAGAACAGCTGGTCTGATTTCTGCCTCTGCTCTGAATTTAAAGCTAAAAATGTCAACGGTGACGTCATCCCCGTTTACTCGCGGGCCCAAGTAGGCCAAAGGGGGCCAAAGGGTCTGCTGGTGGCTCTAGGGTTTTTACCTGGGATCACAGGCATTAGAATATACATTAAGCAGGTAGAAAACAGTCTGCTGCGGCCTGAGAAGCCGTTTTACTGGGATAAATAGAGAAAAAAAAGAGGGAAAAAAGAGTAGAAATAAAAGTAGGACTTCTGCTATTCACGTGTGGTCCTTTGAGAAATGTTAATTTGCTGTCCCATCAAACAAAAACAGTTATATTTCTACAAAAACATACCCAAAAGGCAAAAAAGACAAGTAATTTGACTAATTTCTTTTCAACTTTGCAAAATATAGCCCCGGTTAATTCTAACCTAAAACAGAAGGCAACGATCTCTAGAGATCATAAATAGTTTCATTCAGGAGAAAAGTTTCAAAGCAAGAAATTGAATGTTTAAAGATGATGGATCTTAAGTTTGATGGCAGCTACGCATCTTAAAGAAGTCGTAATTAGGGCAACGAGAGGTGAGCAGGTAGCTGGAAGCCGATTGGCCACAGATAAGTAAATTGATTGGATTTATAAAGATGCAAAGTTGAGCAAAAACCTGCCGTTATAGATTGTGGAGAACTTCTTGGTAGCGTTCTTAAACACGAATCCGAGTATTAGAATAACAATAATCTTTATATGTGGTATAAAGATGCGTTTGGACACGATCCATAAACTAAACTCATTCAAAGGTGAGTCGTTTTTTTTCCGGAGGATTCTGTCGTTTTCGCCACCTTTGGTGGTAAAACGCTGGTTTGTGGGACTCTTATTTATCTCTAACTTCCCATTTTACTCGTTTAACAGCCTAATCCGGTAGATCGGAACGCCTGATCTGGGGCCGGGGGGGCGGGGGGGAAAGGAGGGTCTTTAAGGTAGTGGGTGTTTTTTTGGTAGCCCCCTACCACCGTAGTGACACCACAAATAAGAACAGTCTGGACCGGACTGGGCTGCTTAATGCACGGGGATGGCTGGAGCAGATGACGTTCCTGAGAGGAATGCGGCGGTCATTACAGCGCCCCCCCGCCCACAGCTGCCTCCTGGACGCGCGCGGACGAGGAAGCTGGACTGGTTTTCTAATTTCCAACAAATGGAAATCCACTCAACATTTGCCTCCTATCAAATCCGCAGTTTCTTTCCCTCTTTTTTTTTTCCTCCCCTTTTCAAATTTCATGCTATTATGGTGATTACTGTGGTATAAGAGTCTGTGGTTGTCTTTTTTTATTTATTTTTTTTATCCTCCAGGTCAACCTGGAGCTACGCACTCGATTATCCTCCATTCCACATCAGGGTTTACCTCGGCTCATCGGAGGTGACATAAAGGCCCATTTAGTCAGAGTTCTGCTGACCTCCTGTCCATTCGCCTGACCCGAAACAGATTTGCAGGCTTAATCCTGGTTGGAAATGAAGCCGTGGACGGTGGAAAGGCCTTTTAGGTTTCCCCACCGGGCGTCTTAGCAAACACTTAGCTGGGGGCCTGGAAAGACCTTTTTAATTTCATGTTTGTTATCTAGCTGACCGTAAAATCATTCAGATGCATCCCAGAGCAAGAAGGGAAGGATTACACGGTGTAGCAACTCCAAACACGAAGTCACCTCTAAGCTTTAAAATAATAAAATATTTAAAATCTCAGTCTTAATGCACATTTTTGCTTTACTTTTAGAGACTTTGCATCTGGTCGGTGCAGAAAATGGGGAAACTTTTCACTAAATAAAGACTTTTCGTTAATATTACACATTTTTTCAGCTAAAATATTCAATTTTTTTGTAACCTTTTACAGAAATAGTTTGACACTGGACTTAGGGATGAATCGTCTATCACTGAAATGACAAAACGCACATGAATCAAATAATCGTTTAGCTCTTTTTCAGCCTTTAATGTCACCAGTCAGGAGGAGGATGTTACCAAGAAAATTCACTTACAGTGGGGGAAATAAGTATTTGACCCCTTTGCTGATTTTGCCGGTTTGCCCACTTACAAAGAATGCAACGATCTATAACTTTAATCATATGTACATTCTAACAGTGAAAGACAGAATCCCAAAGAAAATCCCAGAAAATCACATCATATGAATTTATACAAATTGATAACCATCTGATGAGCATAAGCAAAAATAAGCATTCAAGTGGGCAAACCTGCAAAACCAGCAAGGGGTCAAATACTTATATCCCCCACTGTAGAAAAAAGAAAATCCCGTCCCTGTGCCTTTTTAAACACAACCCCAGAGGAAAGGGGGACCCGCTCTGACCCACCTGGGACTGCTGGAAGAGAATGGCCTTCTCCGGGTCGATCCCGCAGGCCAGCAGACTGGCCGCCATGTCCAGCACGTTGCTGCGGAGCTGGGCGGGGTCCTGGGGCTGGGTGATGGAGTGGAGGTCCACGATGCTGTAGAGTACTGAGGGGAACCGCCCCTGCAAGGCCGCCCAGTTCTCCAGGGCCCCCAGGTAGTTCCCCAGGTGGGGGACTCCGGTGGGCTGGATCCCCGAGAACACCCGGCCGCCCTGGGGAAGACGAGCAAGGGTTCGGGAGGTGAAGAAAACCTGGGAGTGAACTATTCGAGGTTTTTATACTTCATATATGACATGTGTACAACATCATTCTCCGGCTTAACACAGCAAGGCTTTTTGTTAGGAGGCTTTAAACGTCCAGTAAGGGTGAGTAGATGGGAGCCATTTTGGCAGCTTTGGAGGTCCGTGCTCGTCTTTTTTCTGCTCTCGACTCCGTTGGCCGGCACCTTTTTTCTCTCCAAAACACACTAATTAAGAAAAAGAAGGCGGCATCTCGCCATTTGACTGCCGGCCCAAAACCGGGGCGGACGCTCAAAGATGGCCGACCACAGACGCGCAGCAAATCCAGGAGACGGCTCGAGCTGTGTGTGTGTGTCACTGGGCATTGGCCGTGTTGCTTTTTGTGCACAGCCAAGCTTCAGGCCACACCGCTTTCGTTTCTCCTGGCCTGAACCTCTGAACCTTGGCTTTGCTCGGAGTCTTAACCACCTCGTGCCGCCCGACCCAATTAGAGCGGAGCGCGTCACCTGCCACGACCCCCGAAAACCGCACCGACGCCCCAAAATCCGGCCCGATTCCCTCCGACTCCGGGGTGCCACTGGGCCGTGCTTTCGTTGGCCCGGAAACGGGACAAAGGGGTCTCGCCAACCCACGCTGGAGAGCAGGACTCTAACAGGTCCTGGCAGACCAGGACATGGTGGGCGCCCAATGTCCAGATGTTACCAAAAAGGAAAAACAAGCTTCTGAGGAATCGGGTTTTTGCTGAAGTGAGACATGGAAACCACAAAAAAAAAAAAAAAGGCTATCAAATGAGATCAAACCGGCTTCTACGCACTTCGGGGTCACAGGTTTCGGGTCAAATGTTTGTGTAACATCAGAAAACGGCAAAGAAATGTCGCAATATGCGACAAGAACCTTTCTTTCAACCCCCAAAACTGTCAGCGAATGAGGACAAAACCACCTGACCCAGAAACTGCAAAATAACTCCACAAAGATCGAATCCAGGATCACGGTCACCAAAAAGTACACAAACGGATGTCAGACGCTTCTATCCGTGCAGGCAGTTTGTGAGACACCACACACGCTGACACTTCCAGGTCTCCGGCTGCTGAAACCCCCTCCTCCTGAAGGAGTAACTAAGCTCCCCTACTCATTTAGAAGAGTCTAGGTTGGTTCTCCGAGGTTGCACAATGGACCAACACAGCCTCACAACCCACAGTCTCAGGGTTAATAAAAGGAAGTGCAGGAAGAGGGGAAAAAGAAGACAGGCAGGACTCTCCTGGTGGTGTTTTTGCTCCCGGTTTGCTTCTTTTGGGGCATTAAAACCAATAACTTTGGTCAAAGACGCTGAATTAGTGCTGTAATTGGTGCCCTCGCTGGTCAGAAAGCTGGAGGCAAACTCGCTCTGGTCCAGAAACAAATGAGAAAAGGGAAGATGGTTCGAAGCTCCAGCAAAAGTTGGGAAGCATTAAGAGAAAGACTCTTCTTCAGGCCCAAACGGATCCATTTCCTCCTTGTTTTTTCCCAGAATTTGTCAGAGCAGGATGCAACACGTGTTTCCACAAACAAATTCAGTTCAGTCGGTGGGAGACAACTTCTAACTTATCTTTAAAGCCAATGGAGGTCATTCTGTGTATCGGGACTAATAAAATAAAAAATGTAATAATAATTAAATTCTTTACACCTTAATGGTGAAGTGTCCGGTTAAGAGTCAGGATGAAGACGAGTTTAGCTCGATGTTGGGGTTGGGTTTTTGTCTTTTTAACAGCAACACCTGGACATACCCTCCCTAACCCTAACCCTCCCCTCCATGGGATCTGAGTGTTATCACCTCAGATCTGAGCGGCGATCGTGTGTACTTCCCGGGGTTATCGTCACCGATCGCTCAGAGCTGGAGCTTTTGGGAAGACATCCTCCCGGGCTGCTGCTGAGGAACCGCTTATCTCCACGGCCTGCTGAGCCTCCTCACTTTCCATCCGACTGACGGACCGCCGCCCCCCTATCGGATGGCAGCCACTCGCACCCCGCCTCGCCTCCCAGAGGGAGGGAGAGAGAGAGAGAGAGAGAGAGAGGCAGGAACAGGAAGGAACTGGGCGCTTATGTCATTACGGAGGGGGTCATTATTGATGCTGAGAGCCTCTTAAGAGGTGTCAGGATTGATTTGGGGGTGGTTGGGGGCCCCGGGCCTGGTTCTTGTGTGTTCTCACCTCAGGCCGACACGCCTGACGCATGTTCCCCCCCCACCCCGCCCCGCACGCCGTCTCCCGGGGGAGGCCATTAGCAATGCAAACCGGAGGGGGGTAATGGTGTCATTTGAACCGATTGGGAGTCAAATGAGGGCCCGTGTAGCCGTGTTGGTTTTGGTCGGGGGGGGGCATTTAACCGGGAAGACGGCGAAACGTTGTAAAACAATTAATACTAGTCAGGAACACCACGCCGCAAAGCCACCAACCGTAAATATTATCATCTCACATACTTTTGGACAATGTCAACACAGTCCAAGCACATTTGAACTCTTTGGGAATACCTTCAAAAAATAAATAAATTTAATAAAAATCAGTGAAGTGAATCTAAAAAAATTGATTTTAACACCCCTTAAAGAAAATATTAGAAAGAAAAAAAAGAATGAAAACCGAAACACGTTAAAATACTGGCGATAGAGAGCTTTTGGTTCACACTTAATTGTCTTTTTTTATGGTTTCCTCTTTGGCTCGTTTCTCTCCGAACAATATTTAAGAATAACAGCATGGAATTCAATTATTTGCTGACATATTAAAGCTCTTTGAGGGATGGATGGCAGCGTTCAATCCTGGTGATGCGACCTTTAGCTTTCTCAACAGAGCAGAATTAAAGGATTTGAATTGGACTGATTGGAATAATAGTTAATTTTTAGAAATTCTAAATAAAAAAAATTAAAATAAATAAATAAAAAAACTTTAAAATCCCAAAAGGTGATGGAGTTCAGTTTGGTTCCGAGTTGAGCCTCGACTCAACTGAGACACGTGGACAATCAGAGGGGCTTCTCCCCACCGGTGACCTTTGACCCCCACAAAGAAACATCACCATGAGCTGTCAGCGGAGGAAACACGAAGCCTGAAAAAGACCCGATTAGCCCACATCTAAAAGACTCAGACCTTCAACTGACTGAACACTGAACGATCAATGAGTGAATGATAATCCAATGCCAGTTCCACCAGTTCTCCATGACAACAAACACATCCAAGTCAGAATAAGGGTCAACACGATCAGTAAGTCAGGAACTACAAGATAAGTCTGCTTTTATCATTTTACTAAAAGAAGAGTACAAAAATAAAGATAAATCTAACCAACGACCTGATCTCACTTGATTAATCATTAATGTAGTAATTTGCCATTTCTAATTAAAAAAAAATGTTTAAAAAAAAGACTAATATTGTTGTTTAGAGTTCAACAGACGACTGTATGACTCGCTTTTGGTCGCTTTAACTCCAGGATGAACGATTTTTTCCTGTTAGTCAATTCTTTACCCACGTCAAAAACTATGGAGATTTAATGGATGGATGGATGAATAATTGAAATGAATTAATCAATTTAAAAAAAATGTCTATCACGTGACTCTGGCTTTGAAGGAAAACGCGTTGTGGATTAGCCAGACAGGTAGACTAGTGCTTTATGTCCCTCTTGGCAATTTCAAAATGGCGGAACGCCATGGAAACCTGCGTAGACTGACCCGTCCCGTGTATGGACAGATAGGAAATTCTTCGCTTGTGAGAATTCAGACGATTGCAGAGGTAATTTTACACCAAACGAAGACACGTTTAGAAATGGAGAAAATTATTTTAGCTAATAAAATACCTAAAATACTCCAAAATGTCCCTTTAAGATGCAGCAGATCTCTCCTGTTGGCCCACGTGCGCCATGTGCTCCAGGCATTAGGGCGCCACGTGCGCGCCTGACACCGGCCGAACCTTTCCGGGAACGCGCCGGCCCGTCGGCGTGTGTGGTAACGTCCGTCTGGGGGGGGGGGGGGGGGGCCTGTGTCAACAAGGGGCGAGCTGTGAAGGCGTCCGCTGGTGCGAGGTTGACAGGAGCGGCGGCGGTGGGGGGAAAACCGTCGGACGGCTCATCAGAAGCCGCAACGTGAGCGGAGATCTGCATTACTGAGACGGAAAACCATCCAATAAAGCCTTTTTTCTGCACTCTACCCCTAGAAGAGAAATCAAACAATCTGAGAAGATGGATGAAAAGGCCAAAGCTTTCACCTTCAAGCTTTAAACTGACAAGATTCTGCCTTTCCATTTGTTTTTTCTCTTTCAAACTACGACTTTTAGACTTGTTTTGGTCTATAAAACTCCACAGGTGCATATAAACTATGACAGGATGCTCATGTTTTAGACATTAGACCCTGGTCCAGACCTGTTGTCCTTAATCCGGGTCTCGGGTGTCAGCTTTTCCGGGGGTGTGGATCTGGGTCCAGACCCCGCTCGGCCTCATTAACCACGGGGACGCTCCGCTCCGGGGTGCTTTTTTCGGGGCTCATCC